TTTTTTTTTTTTTTTTTTTTTTTTACTGAGGCAGTTAATTCCTGGAGATATTCCATTATAACATATATGTATACATAGATTTATCCTTTATTTAAACCTCTTTGGAATGTAGACAACAGCTCCTGGGTGTTACACAGACCCTACCAGGGAGCAGAGCACACCAAGGCATCCCAGTTTTCCAAAGTTCACAAGGAATCAGCAACTGAATCCTAAAAACCTCAGAGAAAACCCTCCAAAAACTCAAAACTCAGAAAGTGGAGATGTTTCCTGCAGCATCTGGATTGACTGCTGCTTTCTGGGACTGTTTTTTGGAGGAGATGCTGCTTTGGGAAGACAGGAGAAAGTGAAATTTTACATTACTCTTTATTTGTTGCCCTGTTTTGTTATTTCTCCCCTTGAATGATCCCATCTGGATGGCGGGAGTGTGGGAATGCCATGGATCTCCACTTGGACACACCCCAAAATCCAAGGATTATGGTGATCCCACACATGGAGATGGAGAGGGACCGGCAGCAGGAAAGTGCTTGTGGTTTTTGTCATTATTGGTGTGGGTTTATCATTACTGGGGTGGTTTTATCATTATTGGGGTTTTTCCCTTTATTTTTGAGTTCCCAAATATCAACTGTCAAGGCCCCCAAAGCTATTTGCAAGCAGGGCTCAGGCTCTGCCAGAGGGGCCAAGGGAACAACAACCCACATGGAAACAGCAGAGAATGACCAGGACACAGAAATTACCCCAAAATCTCACCCAAAGCACCTGAGACATTCCAAACCAAGACAAAATTACCCCATTTCCAACAGCATCTGCAAGGAGGAAGGAAATTCACTCCTGTGTGGAGGAAACAGCACAGGAGGGAGTCCAGCCCTGGCAGATCTCCATCATCCCTCTCAAATCCATCCTTCTGGGCCAGCAGGTGGGAATTAACCAAATTTTCATGGACTTGAAGGAGCTCAGAGGGCTCAGAGGGTTGAGCTCGTCTGGCTCAGCACAGCCCTCGCCAAAGGCCAGCAATGAAAAGCAGAAGGAAAAAGGAACAAAGCAAAAGAAACAAAGAGAAATCTGCACATTTCCAGTGTATAAACAGCACCCATCTCTGGGATGGCCTCTAGAACGGGAATAAAAGCAAAGGAAAATAGGGAATTATGGAGCTGATGTGTCTGGGACTGTTCACCGGCTGTGAGCTGGGAGGGCAAAGGGCTGGGAGAAATGATGGGGAAACTCCAGCCAGAGGCTTCTTCCAGAAATCCAGAGCTGTTTCCCATGGCTCACCCTTCCTTACCTTCAACCATCTCCCCAAAATCACTGGGAACACACAAGCTCAGCTTGGAAACCTGGAATAAGCACAGTGGAGGAAGGATTTAGCCTGGCAGGGGCGTGGGGTTGTAGCCAAACCTGCAATTCCTCCTATTGGAGGGAAATTTTGTCCCATTCTTTTCCTTTTTCAGCTGGAGCATCCAAGCAAAGCAGGAGGGGTGTCCTGGGACACGACCCTTGCCAGGGGCAGGAGCTGGGATGTCTGGGAGTCCCTTTCTAAAGGTGGAAGGGGAATTGAAGTGACCCATGACAGAGAAGCTCAGGGCACTTTGCAGCAACCCTGAACATCCCAAAAACCCCTCTGATTGCTGTTGGGATGCTCGTTACCAGCTCCTCCCTGTGCACTCTGTGCCCTCACACCTCTCCCGGCTCCCTGCCCAGCTGTGGCTCAGGCTGGATCTGTCCCAGAGCCTCACCTCTGGGGGTCTCATCCATGATATCCCAATTTTCCTTTCCTCTCTCCAGCTTGGCCAGGCTGCCCCCATCCTCCTCCTCCCTGCCTGCCCAAGGAGATGAGCCTGAGTTCCACTTCTCAGTGGGCAGCATCCCTTTCCTCCTTTGGGGTTCCCTTCACCTTCCTTCCATGCCCTCTTCCCTCCTTCCCTTCCTTCCCCCCTTTTCTTTGGGCCTTCCTTTCTTGGCCCCCTTTTGTTTCCACCCCCTTGGCAGGAGCTCCCTCCTGGCCTTCCCATTCCCCTCCAACTCCACCTTTTGTAAGGACACAGCAATTCTGGGGCTGACTTTCCCTAAAATGCCTGGGTTTAGGATACAGAGGTGCTGGGTCCCCCTGCTCCAGAGGCAAAGGAGAGCCCACCACCTCTGGGCATCATTTTGGGGTTGGGCTCCCCCCCAGCTCTGCCTCTGTGAGGGGGGGTTGTGCCTGAATATTATGGGTATTTACACAGATTCCTGTCCTGTCCATTGGGGTCAGGCAGGAATCGCTCTGCAGCACCTCTGGAAAGGCTCTGACCCCCTGGCTCCACAGTGCCTCTGGAATGAACTCTGTGCCCCAAGACACAGACAAAGCACGCTCAGAGGAGGGATTTTGGTAAAGTACAAAATGCTGCCTTTAAATGCAAACACCCGGGGGGGGTGAAAGATTCCCTTGGGAGGCCAAATCTGCGAGGATCTGGCTTTGGGGTTGCACTGGGATATGGGAACGACCTCTGACCCTTCAAATCCCACCGCTGCACCCGAGGGTGGTGGGACCTTGTCCTCAGCCTGCCCAGAGCACCCCGGGGAGCAGAGGAACAGCAGGAGCGACCCCCCAGAGAAAAGCAGCTGCAGGAAGGGGTGGGAGGCCCGGGGGAGCAGCTTCCCTGGGCCTGACCCCACAGCCCCCGGTGACACCGTGCCACTCACACCCTGACAGGGCTGCTGGCAGCAGCAGCCCCGAGCCATAAAGAGCCCATTCGCAGGGACAATTTCCTTTCTGCTGTGCCCACACACGGCCATAAAGACAGAGCTGCTTGAAACAGGAAGGAAAAAACATTTCCCTTTGGGTTTTGAACTTTTTCCTGATTTTCCCCCTCGATTAGCTTACGTATTTTCCATTTACCACATTGAAAACATTGGGAATTTCTCTCCTTTCCCCCTCCCAAAAAAAAACATTTCTGTAAGCACCAAAGTGTTCCTTGAGCAAAAGAAGTGATTTGGAAAATGCCAAAAAGACATTTTCCATAGGAATTTTGAGAGGATTTGTGCAGCCAGGCATTAAAAAAAAAAGCAGGGATTTCAACCAGCATTATCAGCACAGCGTGTGGGGCTGGAAACAGGAGTGGCACCCCCAGCCAGCATCAACAGGAGCCACTTTGGAGTTCATTTTCCTTCCCATCCCAGTCCCAGCATTCCAATTCTCCAGTGGGGTCTGCATAAACTAATTCCTCTTTTTCTCTTTTTCCTCCCTGGGATAAAACTCCCTGCTGGCAGAACAGAAACAAACATACACAATATTGCAATACTGAGACCATCTTAGACCTTAAGACTATTTAGGAAAAAAAAAATACTGGCACAAAATTCAATAAAATAAAACTTTAAAAAAAAATAAAAGGTTTTGATCCCTAATAGGAAAAATTATCTTGTAGAAAAGAAGACAACTGACAGAAAGGTGATGGAACAAGAACAACAGTTCTTGGTTTTTTTCCTATATTGCCCCTCCCCAAAGCAAGAATATTCACCCATTTTGGTGTTATAAAAGATAAAAGTTTAAAATTCCTCAAATCCTCAGGAATATTGACATTCCTGACCTGTCAGTTTGTGTGTGAGCAACCAAAGGGATCTATTCCGTCGCATTTTTTTCTAAAGAGCCAAAGGTGGGGAGGGGATTGTTGGATTTTTAAGTGAGCTACATTTTCCTGGCCTTCTCAAAACTCAGAGTTTTCCCCCAGAAAAACCTGTCTTGGAACTTTCAGGAAAATCAACAAAAAGCCAAAGCTTTCCTCTTCCTCCCCCCTCTCCCCCGACATCCTCAAAGCCTCAAATCTGAGCGGCCCTCGAGAAAAAAAAGAAAACCGAGCAGAAGAACAGCGAAAATCAATGCAGAAAGAACCACCAAAGAAGTCCCTGGGCTCTCCCGGGGGACAGCGCTGTCCCCGCGTCGCTGTCACTCGTCGGCGTCGGGTTTGACGTCGAGCATGGCGTGCAGCTCCTCGGGGGTGTAGCCCAGCAGGCTCTGCAGGTCGCAGACGAAGCGGTACACGTAGCGCTTCCCGGCCGTCTTGTGGATGATGTTCTTGTCGTAGTAATAGCGCAGCCCGCGGCTCAGCTTCTCGTAGTTCATCTTGGGCTTGTTTTTCCTCTTGCCCCATCGCCGGGCCACCTGCAGGCACAGCAGGGACAGGGAGGAAAGGTCAGCCTGCCTCGCTCGCCGTGGCTGTGGGGGTGTTCCCTTCCCAGCAGGAATTTTCACAGAATTCACAGAATTCCTCGTCATTAGGAACTGATGCTTGGGAAAAGCAACCTCTGTGCAATGGCAGAATATGGCAGAACATCCCATGAGGATTTATCTGGGTAATTTCATGTGGTATCTCAGATATATCCTCTTATCCCAAGTCCTTCACCCCTTTCCCAAGGCTCCTGCTCCACCTTCTCCCAGTTCCAAACCGGGTGACACCGACATGCAAAGGCCCAGTGCCAGTCGCTTTTGCACTTAGGGAGGCTCCAGTCACTCATGGAATTATTTAGGTTGGAAAAGCCCTCTGAGATCATGGAGTCCAATTTGCCCAGCACTGATGCATGTCTCCAAGTGCCACATCCACAGAGCTTTTAAATCCCTTCAGGGTGGGGACTCCATGGGCAGCTGTGCCAGGAGAAATGGAAGAAATTCCCATTTGGAAAGATGGAATTTCCTCCAATGGAAGAAATTTCCATTTCTTCATTTCCATGAAGAAATGTTCCCTAATATCCAACCTGAACCTCCCCTAGTGCAGCTTGGGGCCACTTCCTCTTGTTCTGTCACTGGTGCTTGGCAGAAGAGACCAACTCCCATCATCCCGTCAGGGGAGGGGGCAAAGATCCCATCTGTTCCCCAAAGCAGGGACAGTCACCCCTCGCCTGTACCCTGCCTATCTGAAGAGCTTTGCCACTGCTCCTCTTCCTAAGGTGTTCCAGCTACTTCCCACCAACTTTGGGCACAAACCTCTGCTTCCAAAGGGTGACTGCATCCCAGTTTTCAGCAAACCTTCAGCTGGACTCTGATTCCTTGGTTCCCCACACCATGCCCATGACCAGAACAAAGTGACTGCCCAAAGGGAGGAGGAGAGGCTTATCCACACCAATATTTCTGAGGAATTTGGGTTGTGCACTTAATTCCAGGGCACTTTACCTCGTCTGGGTCTGAAAGTTTGAATTCCCAGCCATCGCCCGTCCAGCTGATGAAGGACTGACAGGACTTGTCAGTGAGCAGTTCCAGCAGGAATTGCCACAGTTGGATGGGTCCACTGCCTAGAAAGACAAAGGAAACATGGGATATTAATGCCAGGAAAACACAGTTTGTTCTACCACAGCGGGGGAAAATTCCCATACAAAAGATGCTCACTGAATCAAATAAAGCCTTCTCCTGTCAAAAAGAGCCACCAGCAGCCACAGGGCAGGAGCTGAGCTAATCCCTACAGGTAACAGAGCTTCCTGTTTGCAGGAAGAGCTGAATATTCATGCCCTGGAATGCTTCGTGTGGAGTTACATAAATAGGATTATTTTCCTGGCACACGAACAGGAGGAGTCACTGCCTTGGCACCAGAGCAGTGCCAGTCCCTCGGTGCCAAAGCGCCGCCGGCCACGGCTGAACTCGGGCAGACTCCGCTTCCGACCGTGACTCTTTGCTCTGCGCTGCTGATCCAGATAAGGGCACCCAGCTACGAGAATTCCTTGGCCTCTTTCCCGGGCGTGTTGCTGCAGGAATGGGCTCTGCAGGCCCATGGGGAGGGCGGGGGCACACAGAGCTCCCCAGCCCAGGATCTCCTCACTGGCACAGCCTCAGCAAACCCACAAGGAACCTCCCCGCGGCTGCTGCTCCCCTGGCCCAGCTGGAGAGGCACGAGGTGATGCAGAGCATCCCATGCCATGGGCATTCCACCTCTCCTTCCTCACCTGGTCTCCACCTCCCCTCCAATCATTCACTCTGACCATCACCAGTTTGTCCCAGTGCACCCAGTGAGAGCCTGTGGCGGGGTTTGGTCGGAGTCACAGAGAAGTTTTGAAATATTTATTTCTTCCTTGGGCTTGTGTCCCAAACCAAGGTAGAGGAGAAGCCCTGGAGCTAAAATCTCCTTGATGAACAACTTCCAAATGTGGCCACACTCCAAGTATTGCCCCAAGTACCCACTTAGCTGTGGGTAAGGTGTTTTGGGAGAGACCCTGCCATGGTTTAAACCCAGCTTGGAATAGATCATTAATAATGACAGTAATTACAATGAGACAGCCAGAGGAGAGAGGAAATTATTTATCCCACAGAGAATTGCACAGGCTGGATTAGCTGGGGTAATCCCAGTGCTGACAGCACTGAGCAAAGCTTCAAGCAGGGAAAAAATGAGTTATGGGCTCGGAAAAAGGGATGGAGCCCAGCCTGTTCCCAGCAATGACAATGGATGCTGTTTGAGCTGTGGCTGTGGGATAACCCATGGAGGGAAGGGAGGGCTGCTCCCCTTCTCCACAGAGTTTGAAATGACTCAAAAGCTGCTGGGGAGGAGGAAATGAGAGAGCTGGCTCCAGGACACGGGAATGGCCGTGTCCCATCCAGCCCTTCCCAAACTGTCTCCAAACTGTTATCCCTGTGGAACCGCTCCAGGGCTTTGTCAGCGCCAGGCCTGGGGGTTATCACAGCCACAGGCAGGGCAGGGCAGGGAGCTCCTGGCTCATTCTGCTGGAAACGGAGAGGGACCCGGCAGGGAAAGGCTCCAGCCTGCTGCTCCTCTGGAGCTTGCCAAGATGTTGACTCCACAACTGCACTCTCCAGTAGGGATGGAGCTCGATTATCCACATCAAAATTAGGGAGGAAATTCAGATGACGCCTTCGCCTCTTGTTGAAAGGGAGGAGTGAAAAGCCTGGCCTGAAGTGCCACCACATCTCCAGGCTCAGGCCTATTTATAGCAGTGAGCTCTAAATGCAGAGAAAACACCTCAGTGGCTGCCTGAGGTCTTCTACAGGTGAATTCCCAAGGGGATGAGTTATCTTGGCCCATCTGGCCTTACACTGACTCCCCATACACAGCCAGGAAACATCCAACACCCAAATCGAGTTAACAGAGACACAGCCCAAGTGTCCAAGGCCAGGTCCCTCTCCTCCCATTGATTTCTCTCCTGCCAACTGAAGAATAAGGATTTTTAGTTGATTCCTCCCCCAAAATAAGAGGGATGGAAATTCATCACCTGCCCTCAAAACACCCCTGGGCCATCCTGACTCTGCAGGGTCTTTGGAGGTTCCAGCCTCTCTAACCCTGAGCCAATGGCCAGTGCTATTCCTGTTTTGGTTCCTGGCAGGAAGAGGTGCTGGGAAACCCAGGAATTCTTGCCCTCTCTGCAGCAAGCAAGGTAGGGCTCCTGCCACCACCCCCAGTGCCACCCTGCTGGGTATTTTGGGATTTCCAAGGAAATGGTGTCATCTTTGGAACAGGGATTCCCAAGGTCTATTCTGGGCTGCCTGCAGGACACGCGTAAAACCCCAAATTCCTCTTGTTGGACAGGCAGCTATGTGAGGAATGTGTTTGTGCAGGGCTCCAGGCATGTCCCAGCTCCTGCAAACCCCCTCCCTGCCCGAGGGGGAGGCACGGCTCCCAGATGGCAGCGAGGTGGCAGGAGCCAAACCCCGGCACATGCCCAGGCCTGCGCCCCAGGTCTGCGCTGGCAGGGAGGAGAACAGAGCAGGGAGCAGTGCTGGAGGTCAGGGCATCATCTGCTGCAGCTGCAATCAGTGCTGGGAGGGGATCTCCACAAATGAGCCACTCTGCAGCCAGCAAGGAGCAGGGAATATCTTCCCACAGGATTTCCAGGTGGCTCATGCAGCAGTGCCTCCCCTCAATGTCACAGGGCGAGCAGGGAGCTCCTGGGCTTGCCCCTGCACCCCAAACCTCATCCACAGGAGCTGGGAGCAGCGCCCATTTTCCATCCCTCGTGCTCCAACCCTTCCCCTCATCCCAGCCAGGGCTGGAAATCCCCATCAGGATGCCAGGCTGGGATCACTCCCTGGGATCCCACGGGCTGGGATCACTCCACACAGCCAGGCTGTCCCAAGGCCACGGGATCTGCTGCCTTGGTTATCCCAAAACAACCACCTGTTCCCACAGCCTGGATTGGGATGCAGCTCCAAGCGTGAGGTGGAGGGGCACAAGGCAGCTTTTATGGCACTGCTCCCTCCACAGACATCCAGGGGCTTCCCAGAGCAGACCCAGCCCTGGCTGGGGACTGGGGGCAGCCCCTGATCCACAAAAGACAAGAGGAGGACTCAGAGTGGTGGGGGGGTCCTCCCACCCCGCTGCGACCTCCTGCACCCATGGGGCTGCTGAAAATAGCGGCACAATGGGGGCCCTGTCTGGCCTTGGTGGCACTGAACAGGGTCCTTCAGCAGGGACTGTCACACCACAGGAATTCTGCGGCGTCAGGGGGAAAATATTCCTCTTGGGCCGGCTGTCAGCCGGAATTGTGGGAACCGGGAGCCGCTGTCTGAGCGGGGCTCCCTCAGCACCAAGCCCTGACGGTGTCCCCAGAGCGAAGGGTTTGGTGCCACGCCATCCCTGTGCCATCCTTCCTTGGTCAGGGCAGGTCCCTGAGCTTCCCCACCGCGGGGACACCAAACTCTGCCGGGTGGGGCCGTTCCAGCGGCACAGTGCCGGTGGCACCGCACAGGGAGGGCACAGCCCCAGCCCTGCCGTGTCTCTCGGGACGGTTTTACACATCCACCCCTCCCAACGGCCTCTGTTTTGTTCCCCTTGGTTCAAACAAGACAAGAAGACAGAAAAACCCCAGCTACCAACCCCCCCTCGAGGCACCTTTGCCTGGCGCTCTGCGGTTTGTGGTTCCAACCCCACAAACAATCGGCCCTGGCAACGGCTCCAAAACAGCCCCTGCCCCACTCACCTGCCACCCTGCCCCACTCACCTGCCACCCTGCCCCACTCACCTGCCACCCTGCCCACCCCCTGGATGGCACGCGGTCCCCAAAGCCCCCGAGTGTTGGGAGTGCTGGTCCCCATCACTGCCTTGCCAGACCAGCTCCCACAACTCCTGCCCAGACACTGCAAAGCGGTGGAGCTTGGATGGAGCATCTCCAAAGAAGAGGTGTGAAAAAGCAGGAAAGGACCCAGGAGGCTCCTTCCTCCTTCCTTAGGGAGCCACACGGCCATGGCTGCAGGCAGGAGAGCAGCCAGGGGGCCAGGCCAGGCCAGAGCTGCCTCCCTGCTGCAGCTCCTCTGCTCTCAGGAAGGGAGTGCTGGGGGGACTGATCTCATGGAATCTCACGAGTGGGAAGAGACCCACACAGATCATCGACTCCAACCCCTGGCGCTGCATGGGACTGCCCCGTGCCTGAGAGCGTTGTCCCAGGACTCAGAGGCTGACTCCAGAGGCACCTGGCAGAGCTCCAGGGGTTCTGTGAGCTCCACATCCCCCTGACAGTGCTCCTGCGGGCCACGAGCTGCTGAGCAGCACCAGCTGGGTGTCTGGAGGAGACCCAGCCAGAGCTGCTGGCCCCCATCACCCCCGGGCTGGAGGAGCCCTGGGGGGAGCTGAGCTGTGCCACGGTTGGGCAGCGGTGCGTGGGGCTGCGTTTGCTCTCGTCTGCACGTTTGGCAGGCGGGGCAGGAGCCACTGAACCGGCCCTGGGCCCACCCTGAGTCCCACCCTGGGGAGGCCAGAAGGGCACTGAGCCCACTGGGCCCTGCCTGAGGCAAACGTGGGCAGGAGCTGCTGGGTGGCCACCCTGAAGTCACCTGCAAGGGCAGCTGAAGGACGTGAGCCAGGAGGGGCACGACACAAAGGACATGAGCCAGGAGGGGCAGGACATGAAGGACATGAAGGACATGAGCCAGGAG